CTCCGAACATGTGTAAATCCTTGCAGAATCTCCCTTCCTCCCGCACCACGAGCGACCCGCCGCACGGCTGACGGCAGCACCGGACACCAGAAGCAACGCGGCGACTTGCGCCTCCTCGGGTCGCTTCCTGCTTTCACCTGCAATCCCATAATTCCTGAAACCTGGTTCATGACAAAACACGCCTGGGCAATTCAAGTCAACGAGACTGGTGTCCTAAGTCACCAGTGAGCTAAACCTGTGTTTTAAAGCCTAGTGCTTTTCAAGTAGTGGATGGGAAGACTGTCAGACTCTTTGCCCAACTCACCGAAGCAGAAACGTACTTCCAAGAGCTGCCCAAGACAGGCAAAATCATAATCCTGCAGCTCAGACGCACCAAGCCATAAAATCTGGCAAAATGTTAAGAACATACAGCCGTACGCACGTTTGTAGCTTGCAAGTGCATAGGGAAAGCAAATTTAAATATGTAAATTTTAATAAATAAAGAATGAACACAATAATCGCCATCCAGTCCGCATCTTTACAGAGCAAACAACCTAACTAACTTCCTTCCACGTTCTTCCAGTCTTATTATTTTCAAATAGCAATGCTGTCAGCATCTTAATCCACACTGAAGCATGGAGCAAGCATAATCAGGCTTTCCATGGAAAAAAAGTGACTCCTCCAGTGTGTCTCTCAGGGGCTCAGGCAGAGTGGCTGCACACACAGCCCTGAAATGCCCCGAGCGGGGAGGTGGTTTCCTTCAAGGAAAGCAGCAAGTAGACAGGGCCTCTTTCCAGAGTCACACCTTACAAGAGAGCCCCAGATTTGAGACTCACCCCCCAGCTTTACATAGCCACTTGACAGCACTAATGTTTTCAGTTCAGCTTCAACTTACCTTTACATGAAAAGTGAAATTCCATGAGACAAGTGACATTTCCAATATCCCTAAATAGCCTTCAATATATCTGCAAAACACCTGTTCATGACATTTGATATCTTCTGCTGGGCTAGGATAAACTACACTTCTGTGGCGCCCCTTACCAGAGAATCTCCAAAACACCTATGTCGCTGCTTTGTACTGTAGTCAGCCCTGTTGTGAGGCAAAAAAGGCCCTTTTGGGGGCTCTTTCTACACAGCAGTGAAAATCCACCTGTCCTGAGGAGAACAGCATGGGACAATCTCCCTGCAAGGACGGTTTCAGCAAGGACATAAGGAGAAGATGGTGTCTAGGGCAGCACGCTCAGCACCATCGTTGTTATAAAAAGGCAGCTAGGCCCCTCTGACAAGTTATCAGGGTCTTCATTTTGTCATAAGGCAGCCTGGCAGCCCAAATGTCTCTCAGGTACTGCTGTTATCTAAAGGAACCTGTCATTAAGTGGTCTCGCAGCTCCTGGGCTGCGCTGCACAAACAGCATGAAGCTCGCTCTAGGAAACCTTCGAAGAATGCTAATCCCTTCTTGCAATGAGCAAGACACCAATCCAAACTGATTTTCAGTTGACCGATTTGCCCCAAAAGACATTTCTAAATGGAGAGATTAAAAGCTAAATGCAGCAAGCAGATTGTTTAGACAAGCAACAATCTGGAAATTTTTATTTATGAAAAAAAAAATTGAGAAATACAGAGAGGATTAAGGACAGGTTGTAAACAGGGCTGAAATTTTAAGTGGGTTATGAGCAGAGAGCTGTTTCATTTCTCTGCAACAGAGCAAAACTGCACATCAAAATCCCACACATTCAGTAGTGGCCCTTCCTGCTTAGCGATGCTGTCTGAAGTGTGTTTCCTCCCCAAGAACAGCTCTTGCTCGGCTCTGCCACAGCATAGGGAGCATCTGTGCAGAACCCTGCAAGCCAGTTTCTCAAGTCACGCATCACAAAAGGGTGCAACACAATAGGGAAGAAAAAAGCTAAGAACATGCCCAGAAATTTTTCTTTATCCTATTTAGTTCACCAATCTATCGCTCAGCTAGTTCAAGATGTTTAGAGAAAGGAGAACAGATGCAAGACCAAATACTCTAGTACCATTTGGGCCATGAATCTACATCACCCTACAGGTGAAGCAGACTTCACCTTTAAACTTATCTCCAAATACAAGACCTACTTTGATTTGTTGATGGCTCTTTTCAGCTTCTTCTCCAGTTGTTTCATCCGTCCTATGGCAGCGTTGTATTTGGCAGCAGTCTCCTTGTGAACCAACTCGCTCCTTGTTTTTGTTTGCTCTGCCTCCATGACCTTCAAGAAAGAAAATACAAGTTAAGTTGGAAGCCACAACAAGTTATTTTGTATTATTTTAATAAGCAGCATCCTCATAATCTCTCCAATCTGCTCACGACAGGAGACCAGGGAGATAGTAAAGGAAAAAACTTGCTTTCAGTGAAATGGGCAGCAGCACACTGGGTTTGCAAGTGCTACATCAATTATTACAGAGGTGTTGCAGCTTCTTGCATAATATCCCTTAGGGGAAGTTCAGAAAAGCCTCAGACTGGAGGAACACCCCTCTTTGAACACGGTTAGATATTGGAGATTGCCACAGCACTGGCAGAAATCACACAGTTACATTCAGCAGGGTCTTTTCTTGTCCCTCCTGCCTCTCTTCCAGGAGCCCCCTCGCTTTCCAGCTCCAGAAAAGCCTGAATTTTCAGGCTCTCTCTCTTGTTGCTATGAAGTGTCAGAAAACGGTAGGACTTGATTTTATCCAGTACTGGGTCTTCAGATCTCTCAGCAATGAATCCAAATACTTGGCAACGTCAACACAAGTGGTTCAAACTCCCTTCCACTGCTCGAGTTATTTCAGAGCGGAGCAGAGCAGAAGGTGATGCCTGTGCTCTTCAGGTCCACAGATAGAACAAAATCCAAGGACCTAAATTTTTAAATAATCTCACATATCATCCTAATTTCACAAGACTCTCTTAGCCTTAGCCCTCAGGCTGGACTGAAGCCAGGGAAGAGCACAGTCAGCTCTCACTTGCTTGGCACACCACGCGAGGCAGGAAGATTGGTGTGGCATCCTTTTTAATGCCTAAATAAACCCGTGGAACCGCTACGTGCCAAGCCCAAACTGTATCAGCACCAACTGAAACTCCACAACTGGAAGCAGGGTCCAGGGCAGGACACTCCTGTATCCACAACTGGAAGCCACATTTTGCTCATCCGCACACACCACTTGCTAAGAAACAAAGAAGCTGCTACAGAACTTGAAACCCACAGAGGATTTCAAAGGCTCTTCTAATCACATGTAAAATAATCCATTCAACTCCAACACCCTTCAGCTGTTTTATAAGCAAATAAGGCTCTAAATTTTGAAGAAAGGTCAAAAAAAAAATTAGATTCATAGCAGACTTTCCTCTGCATCCTGCAAACAAGCTGCAGCCTCTCATCTTGAATAACTACTCGGAAGCCAGCATGATGCAATGCCTTTTCCTAGCAAACTATGTCAGACAAGACTGGTTTGAGCATAGAAGCGTCTTAAATTAAAATACAGTCTCCAAGGACAACGCAGAAGCTGGTTTGCTTTCTTTGTAGCACAGCAAGGAAACTGCAATTTAAAAACGCCGCAAGCTACAAAATAATGGTGTGGCTGGAATTTGTTGATTCTCAATTCTGTGTCAATCCTCCCCATCCCCTGTCAGGGCGAAACCAGCACGTGCTTTGATATCTAGGATCAACCACATGATAAGTACCAGAGTCATAACACAAGGTAGGTGTCTGGCATCAAGCTGATTTTGCAAATCTTTCTTATTAAGCATCACAGAACATCCTTCACCCTGTAAGACTGGAGTTTGAGGATACACATTGTAATCACCTCAAAATACCCAACAAAATACAGAATTTGCTGCCAGCTGTATACACCCACATTTTTTTTTTTATCTTTCCTGGAAAGATAGGAAGGAAAAAAAAAAAAGGTTGTACACTTCATCCTTTCAGCTTCAGAAATCAGTGATGTAAGGAAGGCTCTCTCCCTCTCCAGGTTTTTGTTCTCTTAAGAGCGGTCTGTCACTACATGGACATTATCTGCACAAGTCCCAGGGGAAGCCAGGCCCTGCCTGGACCCTTCCCTGGGAACGGCAACTCAAGGTGCAATCCCTGGGCTGAGGACAAAGACCCAATTCTGCAAAATTTGTAAGATCCCTCCTTGGTAGCTCACTGCCAAGATGCATTCAAGTGTTCCATATGGACAAGAAGGAACAAAATCCTCCCTTACCTGCCACCCAACCCGCAATCCCCCCTCCACTTCTTAGCAGTCCGAAGCTAAGGAACAAAACCACTGCACAAGCAGCTTTGTGCCTGCACTCTTCCAGGAAAGCTGCACCATCTGGAGTCAAAATCGGACTCCGTGCAGAAATCTCTGTAATAACCCAGATGCAAGAGAAAAATGTATCAGTGAGATTTAGTAGAGTAGACTAGCCTGGCCGGGGAATTACTCCATAGTTCTGTTTCTTTTAGGGAATATTAAATCAGTGACTCTTACAGAGGAAGAACTGGAAATAAAAGAGGTACGGCAGACAATACAGCAGCAGTATACAAGGACAGAATCAATAACATAGGGATAAAGATGCTGGGGAAGAAGGGTTATAAAAAACACCCTGCATGTTATCTCCAGCCCGACTGGAAGGACAGATTAGGGCAGGGAAGGCTGTTGATATTTTTGCTGCTTTTTTCATAACTTTTTTTCTCTTCTTCCCTTTCCTCCAAATAGTCCCGTGTGCAGGAAGTATCACTTCTCTGTACATCATGAAAGTACCTGTGCATTTCACACTGACAGATGGCACTTCGCGGTGTAATATCAAAGGGAGCTTCACAAGCCAAATTAAACCAAGAGGGAGCATGCGTCCTCCCTCTTCGCCCTCCCTTTACCCCTTCCACTCAAAGATGCCTCATGATCAAGAGCCAAAACATTTCTTCTCCCTGCCAGAATTTGTGAACATATTTCAGGGAAAAAAGCAGAAAAAGCGGAGCCTTTTAAAGGCTGCATCAGCAACTAGAAATTATCACCAATTTCTCTCAAAATTCATGCAGGATCTTCCCCTCTACTCCAGCTCACCTCAAACGCAAGGTAGCACATTCGTCAGTGCTTTCTTTTTGTACACATCTATAAACAACACAAAGCTCCAACACAGATGCTTGCAGGGATTAGTTGTATCTCCAGAGACAGGTAGGCATCTGGCTCCTACTTAGGCGCCCAGATTCCCTTGCTTTCTTTGGAAACAAAGCCCAAAATACAGGGTGAAAAAGCTCTTGAGTGACAGCCTGTATTGCCTACACCTACTCATTCTGGTCCTGCTTCATGAATAAAAAGCTTCTTCCACGTGCCATGCTTCCAACACACTCAGGATAGGCAGAAGGGCAGCAACTCTCCTGTTTTTAGTAAGTTTAATCGGACAATTTGCCACTTCAATGACTACAAAAGCCTTGTCTCTTGTTATACACTGTCACATTAAAAATAATGGTATTGACAGCTTTCCAGTCTATGAAGAAATCAAAAAGCAGGCCCAGCATGCAACCCCTGTCTCCGTTTCCTCCCCATGAGTCTCTTTAAATAGCACTTCTTGTTCAACATGCTGGAATCCAAGTCCTTGTCCACATCTGTTAGGTCAAAAGCAGAAGTAACCTGGCAATATTTCCATACACATACGCATAAAAGAGAGATGTCTTGTTTGCTGTTTTGACCACTCTTTTGCCTTCTGCCCTTTGCTTGCACTGCTTGTCACCTGCCAAGCTGCTCAGAACTGTTCCAAGTTCGAGACAAATTCAATAGGGCCTTTTACCTCTGCCTAAGAGTAGCGAATAATAACACTTTACTCCTGCCTGACATTTCTACCAATACAGAAACAAATGAGTAATTAACTCACTTCTCACTTCTGACATTTGGTGCAGAGCTGCTTTCCTGCATTTGATTCATTGCTGTGCAAGGCATAGTGCAAGATGTTCAATACCTCTGTCATTTACAAATACACAATAAAAAGCTGGCAAATCCTCCCAAAATGTTTATGCAACCAAAATGCAGAAAGTTTCTGCAATAATCATTTTGTATGCGAAAATGGAGAACCACTTTTTTTTTTAACTGCCTACCTTAATAAATTTTAGTTGTAGCTAGGCATTTCTAATGTAAATAATAGTTAATGATGCGAGCTAACAGAAACATTTTGATAACCAGCAAGCATTTTGATCTAGTGGAGCCTGTCCTCCCACCTGTTTTCATGCATGCCGGGCTAGGGAAAAATGATGTTTTCTGTTCCTTCCGCCCCCAGCTGTTTTCTTTACCTCACTGAACACTAAGCTCATCGTCATTAACTTCATACACTCAGACCAAGAAAATACTCTCCCTGCCCCTGAAGAAGTCACAAAACCCAGCAGGCACTTCAAGCAACCTGATGCCAAGTGTGCAGTCAGAATTTCCAATAATGTAAGAGTTATCTTTATTTTTTTATCCTTGGTTTGCTCTGGCCCTAGGCTTGTGATTCCCACTTGAGACAGTGGAAATCAAGAAACAAACTTCCATGCAAACATCCATACTGTATCCCAGAAAGACACAACCATGTCCCGTCTGGGAACTGGGTTTACCCTATTTTAAGCTTGGGAGATGACAGTAACACTCCTTCCATTCAAAACCCTCTCAGCTGCTCTGTGTGATCGAGCACCATATCCTGAGCCTGGGGCCACCTATCCAAGGGCCCGCCCAGCTGTGGCCGTTGGGGACATCACTCCTCTGCCGAGCAGACGCTGGGCATTCAGAGAGGGCAGATATGGACATGAGCAGCGTGGCTCCCCCGGACAGCGTGGGCAGTTGCGCAGCGCGGTCGTCTTCGTGCATCCTCGGCGAGCGGCTCTGCGCATCTCGGGGACATTCCCACCACAGGCTGCCAGGAAAGGGCTAAGGCAGGTAGGAGGCTACTAGGATCCCCTAGAGATACCTACAGAAAAGAGCAATCTGTTCAAAATCTCTGTGTTGCTATCCTTTCATCCCTGATCTACCCTAGCACAAAACCTTCTGTATCCCTGATGATTAAGTATTTACCTGTCTGCGGGTTGTCAACACTAGCACTGCCCATCAGAGAAATACCAAGGAGAACACCAAAATGCACATTACTTCTTCCCAGCAAGCTTCCAAACAAGTATTTTCAGATCATCCTTCTCCTCTCCCACGTTTCTTTGACCACAAGCCATGCACTGCCTCTACCCTTGCCAAAAGGCTGTCCAGCGCAGCAGGCTGCAAGCTCAGCACATGAAGGCTTTTCTCGACTCCTGCAAAAAGGCAGCAGCTACTGCTGAAGTGCAGATGTCTCGCAGGCTGTGCCACCAACATGGGCTGTCTCACCTCCCACACCGCCAGATACAGAGCTCAGACCAAACGCCCATTTGTTTCCTCAGGCTGGGGGGTTAGAAAAGCCAAGCCAGGCAGAGCAGGGCTGCTGGCACGTTGCTGCTATCTCTCTCCGTCGGAGCTCAGCAGCTTAGCAGGCAGGAGCTCTGCGCAGAGCTTCCAGTGCTCCCTCCTAGTCACTCCAAATCAAAAATGGCTTGTGCATTTCTAGACTATGCTCATACCAGAGAGGCTAAGAGCTAGGGAAAAAAGAAGGCATCCAAACACAACAGCACAAAGAAACACCCAACAGACCCTGCCAGATCTGCAAATACTTGATGGCAACAAGCACAATAACATAAGCAATACCTCATGTTTCTTGGTTTGGCTTTTTTTGGTTTTGCTTTGTTTTTTTCTTAGGGGTGGGAATTAATATTATATTATATATTATGCATTTTATAGACATAATATATATGCATAATACATATTGCACTCACTAGGTTTCCCATCTCTCCCTACATAGCCAACATCCTTTTTATTCCCTGTTTCATCATCTGGCAGCTGTTTTTTTTTTTTTTTTTTAACAGTCCATTCTGAAACAGAAGCTGTCTTGTAAGCGAGACGCTTCTGCCACGGACCAGAGCCACCACACTGCTGAGAACTGCAAGATTCTCCTCAGAGCGGCGCGCAGCACGCTCACCGTGTGCGGAAGAGCACGTTCGGCTCTACTGGTGTGCCAAGGGAACGCTGACAGAACAAAGGGGTTTAGCTTCCATTTTGATTTTTTTTAGCATTAAAAAAAATCCTTTCTACATTCTTTTAATATGCAAGAAAAAGAAGAGGAGACAGGGTAAATGACAAGAAAATTCTTCCTGACAGCTGCTAAAATGAATACTGCCTTTCATCGTTACATGGTGTGCCTTTTCTTTGGATTTAGGAAGTAAGACCTTGCCTAAACTTGAAAGGTAATTCAGGATACAGCCAGATACAAGATTAAAATGCAGTATACATTCCTGGGTAATTCAACATGTGAACACACACGCTGCAGGATAAAAGCGCCCTGTTCAACATAGCCCGTGCTGAGGACAGGCTATGCTAAAACTGGAACACGTCTCCATTATTAAACAGTAAGAGTTTCCATAATGCATCCACTCAAAACCAGTCATCCCTATGCCATTATTCTGCAATAACTTCAAAGGCAGGTATGCCTTAATACATTGTTTATCCCCATTTTACAAATAATATTTTTTCCTTAAGAGACAGACTCCACACACTACTAAACACAGTCAGATTAAGAACTACAGTTGTCCCAGTAGCCTAAAGCCCAAACTGTTTAGGCTTTCTTACTGCTTGTAGCTTCATTACCTACATGTCATGAGTCTGGGAACACGTGCAAAAATGTGGCTCTCCAGAAGCCAGCCCCAAGTCTGCATTACCCTCTGAGTAGCGTGGTTGAGCATCTCCTGCCAGGCAGAGTCGAACTGGCGCTTGTCGTCCTCCAGGAGCCTCTGCTCAGCAAGCGAAATGGTCTCCTTGGCCGCACGCAGCACCTCCGTAGCCCGCTGGAAGTCCTGCGTGGCTCTCTGAGCTTCCAGCTGTGCCTGAAAAAGAAACGTCGGGATTAAACACAAAGGAACCCTCAGTCACTTCCCAAAGGCCTATCGCACTAATCCAGGGGCTTTAAAAACACCCACTCTGCATTACTGTTTCCCAGTGCTTTGCTTAACAGTGGGGCACATCTCCCCACTGATTAACTAGCAACCCACATCCAACCTGGTCATTTGGGAAGGGCTGCCTCATGGGGTTCCCGCCCAAAAACGCGCTGCTGACCACCTACAAACGGGCATCGGGCTGAGAGAAAAATCCGCTCTGATGCACGTTTAATGCAGAACAGAAAACTAAAGTGAGCGCAACAGCAAACGTGCGGCACGTGGAGCGCTGGCTGGGGAGGGCACTGCCTCCACACACGGTCAGGGAGGGTTTGGAGCTGGAGCACCACTCGTCCCGCGGAGGAACGGCTTTGTGGGCACTGCGCTGCTGTGAAGCACGGCCACGGATTTCCAAGGCGGCGGCTCCGGCACCTTCCCGGTTCTTCCGACATCCTTGTTCCTTGCTAGGCCTGGGATGGCGCAAGCGAATCGAAACGAAGGGAACCGGCAGGTTGTAACACGTTGCAGCACAGATACAGGCCTGCTCTGTCCTTTGAAGCAGCTCCTTTATTCCATTTTGACAAAAGAGGACCAACATCTACTTTGAACAGTCTATTTAGGACAAGTCACTGGTACTCAAGTGTAACACTGCGAGTGCCTCATGTCCCTTCTGTCTGCCAGCTTTTTAACACAAGATTAGAGATGCCTGCTCTTTTATGGCTATCACTGAATTATCAGAGTTTTTAAAAATTCAGGCTTTCAAACTGGCAGCTTTCACATTGTTTTCCTTTTTCAGAAAATTTTAAGTGAAGCCTTTGGAGTCATGTGCTATTTTTAAACCAAATCATCTGACAACAATGACTCCAGAGCCCTTTCTAGGCCAACGCGCAGAATAAAAGGTTTACTTGAAAGACAAAATCTTGGCCTGATCTTTTATACACCAATTTTTAAATATGTCACAGATTTCTAATTATAGGTTGAAAAGGGAGTTTTGAGCTATTCTGCACTGAATGAAAACCCTTCAAATGTAGGCTCCACAGTGAAGTGAACATCCGGCACAGGTGAAAACAGTTTTCAGCTACATTTTTTAAATTAAATGATCCAGTTTGCACCTACTGGAAGCATCACCATCGAGCAGACATGACTGACAGAGTGAACTAATGAATATGAGTCCACATGTCATGATATACGGCATGGCAGTCTGAGGCTGAAGTAGAGGAAAGCGCTCTGGTGTGCAGAGCACAACACTTAGGGAGATTAAGTCTTTTATTTGAGGAAGAGGTTTGAATGCCAAAAAGTGGTGGCCACTTGGGAAGTGGCCAAAAACCTCTGCTCTAGAATGCGAAATAAGCAGAACAAGGGGGCATTTTGCGAACAGCTGGTGGCTACACATCCTCAACGCCAGCTGCACCAAATGCTTTCAACATTTCAAATAGCACAGTTCCTTGTAAAGGTGATGAAAAAGTCCTTTTCTCCCTGGCGTGTGTGTGTGTGCGTGTGTGTGTGTATGAGAAGCCACCTAATCTAAACACAAGCCTCCAAAGGAAATAAAGCATGCCAAGTTTCCCTCACAATGTCTGCAAATACCAGCTTCTTACTTCCCTCCTCTTATCACACAAAGAGGTATTTCATGCCAAAACTACAGTGGAAAATGCGTGAGAGGGCCCTCATCTATTAGCTGAGGGGAAAAAAAAAAAAAAAGATCAAAATCAGAACAATAAGAGTAGCAATTTCCTTGCACCAAGCTCTTTGCTGCACTTTGTTCTGCAGTGACCGCTGGTGCTTTGTGCAGGAGATTCACTGAGCCACGGCCCTTTGCTGCTTTTACTCAGCTTCCACCTCGCAACCCCATCTAAAATAGCTTTTAAGAGCCAGGACATTAAAGTGCTAATTTTCTATGTAGCAAATACTGAAGCACTACAGTACATTGGACCAGTATTAATGGAATAAGCAACACGTAATACCAACATATTATTGCAAATAAATTTATTGTTAATACAGCCTGCTAGAAAGTCTAAACAAAACCTCACCACTACTCCATTCATCAGCTGCCCATTTCAGATGAATTAATGCATTTTATACATACAGATGAGTCTGACTAATAAATACTTTAATTTAACCACTAATTAACCTGACTCACAGTACCCACCAAGCAGGACCAGGCTTTCAAAGGATTTTTAAACAGGACTGAGTTAAGCTTCCAACAAAGGATGGGGCAGCATAAATCTTGGTCCCCGAAATACCATCTGCTATTTACTCAAAATTCACAACCCTCTTACTCCTGTAAGTTTGGTCTGTAAATAAAGGGGTCAAATACAAATTAAAGGCAAAAGTTTTCCATAGAAATAGGTTGAGAGGGGATACAAAAGAAAAAAAAATCCAGTAATCGCTTGCAAGAGATAATTGCAGAAGGGAAGAACAGGAACTAGATGGCACTGATTTTTAGGACAGAGCCTCCTATGCACCACTACGTTTCTGTTGGCTCAGACCTCCAAGCCAGGGATCAACACATTTAAAGCCTGCAGAGCAATAGAGGCCCAGCTACTAAATCCCCAAGGAAAACAACATTTATTGGGAGCTTGCAGAGCCAGTAGCTGTTTTGATGAAGCCTCTAAAGCACAACTGGATGCGTCGCAAGAAAACACTCCGCGATAAGCAATCCACATGCCAGATTCACAGTGCAGCCAGACTTCTAGCTATTTGGTATCTCCAGCATCTGGACTTCTGGGATGTTGACAGCCAAAGCTGCAGACAGGCAGACCTATAGTTCTGGCCATACTCACTTTAATGCTCCATAACTGTATGGGGAAGTGGAAAACCCAACAGAAACTACTTAGGTACTCTCTCTGCTGTATCGGTTATGCGCTGCTCTGTAACAAGAGTTTGAAAGCAGAGTCCTGGAGTGCAAAATGCCTTTTGGTTTAGGCAAAGGAATAAGTTCAGATAACAATTATCTTCAACAGTTATCTGAAGAGAGTCAACAGCCCTTTATTTTTAAACAATTCACTGAAAACCAGGAAAAGAACAAAAAAAGGCTCTGTCAATGTGAAAAACGATGCTCAAACCCTTTTTAGTGCAGTTACTCAGTAATTAGCATTTATTTAAAACACCCTCCCGTGCACACAAGCAGGTCTGTCGTGCTACCAACAGAGCTGTCTCCTGCTCACGGGCTCAAGGCTGCAGACTGCGCCATTGGATGGAAGAAGCCACGGTCTGCAAGGTCTGCATTTACTTTCATGTTTTCAAGGCACGCTGACAGGCTTGGTAATTATGAGTTGCTAATGTACCGGTGATATTAGCTCAGTTCTGACAAATCTCATTTAGGGGAAGAGAAGCTGCACCCTCGTGGGCAGTTCTCTGCCCAGGCTTCACAGAGCCTTGCACCAAAGGGAACCGAGAAGAACCGTGCCCAGCAGCGGGTGGTGCCTGGAGCTCACGGTTTGCAGGAAGCAAGTCTACAGCAGCAATAAGAACACAAAAAGCCAAGATCCAGGACAGTCTCTTCACTCTTCCTCCCTTCACAGAATCTCCAGTTTGTATTTTTCTTTTGTCCAGTTTTCCCAAGTTATGCCCGACAGCGCAACACCACTCATACTGAACCTCAGCAAAAATAGCATTGCTGCCAGGTTAGCTGACATCTAAAATAACGTCTGGGCAGCCACTGCCCAGCCCTCATCTCTGAACACATGCACATGCAGCTGACAGCCCAACTCTGGTGCCAAAAACCAGCACAGTGGGAGTATTTTGTGGAATGAGGCTGCTACGGAGCTTCCCTGCCCAGTCAGCCTTCTCCACAGGCCCAAAACACAAGCATTGGCACGTTCATGAGAAGGGCATCGCTAACACTGCTGGCAAATTTCCCATTTGATATGGCAGTCTGCAAAACTTTCAAGTTTTCAAGTATTTAAAAAACAGCTTCTAGTTTAGAAGGATCCAGATAAGCTTATCTCACCCCATACGGTCAATGCACACAATCATTTTGCTCCAGTATTTCTGTGCTCTTGCTAGATGAATGATTTCTGTTTGTAAACTCACTGGAAGCTGGAGCATGACGGGAACACAGCTGCCATGCAGAGCAAGGCACCAGCAAGTCACATGCTGGCCCAAGGCCTTTGCTCTGAAAGGCTCTTGTTTTGTTAAAATGAAACCAATGTCTCCCTTGCTCACTAACCTTTAAAACAATAGTTTAATTGCTACCCGCAAGCAGTGACTGGCTTACTACAAAATAATGATTAACTGGCTCCCAGTTAGACTCTTCAGGAGCAAAATAGATTTCAGGTGTTTTCATTTTGGCGCTCTCATTCATTTAATAACGCTACACGGTCCAGTCACTGTGTGTCGTACAACAGGAAACATGTTTTAAAATGACAGGAACTTTCCTGCATCAGCTTCCTACCAGAGCTGCCATAACCTGTCCTTGCTGCAGGCTTTGGGGTCCCTAGAGCTCTGCAGGAGAGCAGGACCACAACCCCTCTGCTATGCAAGCTTGTGCTCCCCACCGCGCTGGTTTCAGTCATGCAGACACCTACGAGGTGAAGGCAATAAGCTCTCATTGCAGCATTTGCATTAACTACCCCCAAGCCTTGCTATTTTGGCCCCAGTTTTCCTCCATCTGTTTCAATGCAGCTGGCAGCAGTTAGGAGTAGAGCACCCCAGACGTCAATACGAGGGCCCAAACCGTTCAATATTTTAATAACAACTTCAGTACTGACACAGCTGCACTCTCAGCACGTGTGGACGATACTAAATTAGAGACTGTGGTTGGAAAGGCAAGAGACAGCAGAGAGACCTTGTGAAACTTGACAGGCCCAGCAGAAACTCGTGAGGTTCAAGGAGGAGAAATGCAGAGTCCTGCACCTGAGGTGGAATAACCCATGACCCGCACCAGCAGGAAGCTCAGCGCTGCCGGAAAGGGTGTCTGTGGTACAACGGCTACCGGGCTCATATAGTTG